TTTTTTTTTGGCTATGTATGGTGGCTCACACCTATAACCCTGGCACTCTGGGAGGCCAAGGCAGAAGGATCACTTGAGATCAGGAGTTCGAGACCAGCCTGGACTACATAGCAGGACCCCATCCCCACAAAGAATATGGAAAGTTAGCTGAGCATTGGTGGAGTGCACTTGTAGTTCTAGATGCTCAGAAGGTTGAGGTGGGTCACTTAAGCCCAGGAGTTCGAGGTTACAGTGAGCTATGATCACGCCACTGTACTCTAGCCCAGGCAACAGTGAGACACTGTCTCTTAAAAAAAGGTTTTGGAGGTATTTTATACTCTTAGCTTAAATAGGAAAGGAAATGTGTCCACTTTCACTCCATCCGAGAGTGACAGCAGAGACTGACAGGTAGAAAAGGTCTGCCTATGTGCTGTCTCAGTGCTGCTTGGTGTGTCAATGTTCTGAACATTGTGGAAGGGGAGCATTCTGCCCTTGGAGAGGCCAGAGGCTGGTTGCCCAGTCAAGAGGCCTGAGCTTTCTGTCTGAACTCTCTACTTCTTGCTGAATAAGACATTTCCTAAAACATGATGGGGCAAATTTTGGTGTTAACAACAAACAATGCACAAATTATTCCAACATGTTCCCAAATATACATAACCACCTAATATGTTATGACATTTAACCTTTAACTTGATGTCCTCGTGGATGCCACTACCCATCCCTGTGGGAGCGCTGGGTGATCCTCCTTCTGGCACCTCCTCCTGCATCTGCCCAGATCTTTCTGCTTTCCACACTGCGCATGGAGGGCCACACCCCTCCTCATGCTGCCCTGCCCGCAGTGTGGGCACACTCCATGGGAACTCATCTCAGGGTCTTGCTCACCAAGTCCAGCAGGTGCAGCCCAGCACCATCCTGCAGCTCTGGCCAGCCCGAGTACACCATCCCCACCCCAGCCTTTTCTGTCCTGCTTGTTAGTCACCATGGGGTTATGCCTCAGATTCTGGACACTCAGCTCCCCTCAGAAATAAGCCCCTGGGCCCCATTTTGGGCTCCCCACACCTCAGGGCCCTCTGGTCCCTCTGCATCATCCAATCTGGACCCAGCACTATTGCAGCACAATTCCCACTGCCCACATCACGTCCTTTAGCCTGTTCCCCTGGACAGTGCCAGTAGCTTTTATCATAGAGCCCCACCTCCCACCACAGTACAGGCTGCCCTGCTGTGTTTCTATCTCAGCCCAGTGTCCACTGGGCCCCTTTCATCTCTTTGGCCCTTTATACCCCCAGATTGAACTCGCATCAGGTCCTTTGCCTGGTGGGGGTCAGGGGAGGTAGCCTTGTCCCCTGCCCTCCCCTACCAAGACCTGGAGACAAGCCCATGCAATCACTGTGTGGGTGGGCCACTGACAGTGTAGCCACAGTGTAGTATGTGTGTGTAGCCACTGATAGTTGAGGAAGGGCAGGGGATATCTGGGGGCTAGGGAAGGGCAGGGGTGCTGCTCCCTGGGGTCTGCCACTGTCTCTTTGGCCCAGGGTCACACATATGGTCCTGTGGTGGCTTGCACCAGACAGTGGGCCCATAAGTCTGCCCCACAGGCCTACCTTGGGTGCAGCCTGGACCCCAGCAGCAACCCCAGGTTGGGAGTTGGTGCAGGCAACAGAGCCCTGTGGATAAAGGACGGTAAACTAGAGCCATGTGCCCCTGCAGGTTGTCCTTGGGTGGCATGAGCTTGAGAAAAGTCATATACTGGGTGCCAGGGGAATGGAAGGAGCCACAGGGTAAAGCAGATGGGGACCTATGCACCTTCCCACTGGTTTCAGGGGTAGCAGGGTTGTTAGAGGACAGTGGGCCCCTCAGAAAGAAGTAGATAAAAACTGGGGACAGACAGACTTTATTGGAGAAAGTCACTAGGGTGTGGGTGGGATCCTCATCTACTCCCCCAAAGAGGCCCAATCTTCCCCAAACTTGAATGTAGCCAAAGGGCGAGGGGACTGGGCAGGTAGGGCAGCTCATGCACGTGGTCCTTGGAGCAGGGGCAGGTGGCCCAGTGCTGAGTGGCATATGGTACCATAGGCCTGAGAGTAGCCCCCGAGCATGGTCCGGGCAGCCCCCAGCGCCCCCTGTGAAGCAGAAGAGCTGAACATCCTCCGTCCAGGCCGGGGGTCTGGGGGAAGCTGAGGAGGGACCTGCAGGTAGTCAGGGGTCAGTATAAGGGAAAGTGCACCTGGGAGAGAGAAGGGGAGAACCTTTGAGGGTTGTGGGGAATGGGAAGGCAAAGGCGGGACACAGGCCTGGGCTCACCAGGTGTGGGCCAGCTGCCCTCACCCCACAGCACTGGGACCAGTCCTTGCGGATCAGGGCCTGATTGGCCACCTGGGCTGCAGCCTGAGTGGTCAGGGAGAGGTTTGCCCCTCTTATGTTGTGCTTCAGCTGGGAAAGGGCATGTTAGAGAGTCACTACAAGGCTCAGAAGAAGGCTTTCTCCCAGTGCCCATCCCACCACAGCTTACCCATGATGGGGGGGAGGGGTGCTCCGCCTCCACCCCAGGGGTCCCAGGTTGGGGCAAAGAGGCTGGGTTCCGCCTGAGAATGTTCTTAGCTGTTCTGGGGGCTTCTGTGGGGTGGGAAGATCAGTTAGAGATCCCACACAGAAGGGACCAGGGCCAGGACCATGCTCCGTGAGGGACAAAGATCACACACCGTGCTCTGGATCCAGACTAGGGCTACTCTGAGGCCTGAGTCCAGGGATCTGTGCAGGCGGCCCCAAGGCGAGCTGGGGGCTGGCTCTGGGCTTGAGCAGGTGCGCCTGGGACCTGGAAGCCCTGGGCTCTGCCCCCGGGGGGGCACCCCTCAGGCCCTCCTTTTTGGGGACACAGCCATTGCCTCTCTGCTCCAAGATCATCTGTGGGAGGGGAGGGGGCACAGAGATGCACAGATGGGCATAGGGGCTTTGGGAGAATGCTGAAGTAGGAGGCTTTGAGGGTGAGGAGGGTCTGTTTCAGGTGTCCTCAAACTACGGCCCACATGCCACATGTGGCCCACTCAGGACATTTATCTGGCCCGCTGGGTGTTTTTGCCGCCACTGCCTGTCCTGCTCAGCAGGCAACTCAATCCGGGGCCAGCAGTCTGGCCCTCCAACGGTCTGAGGGACAGTGAACTGGCCCCCTATTTAAAAAAGTTTGAGGACCCCGGGTCTGGCTGAAGCACCTGATAGATGTGGCTGCGATACTCGGTGGCAGATAGCCGGACTCCATCCTGCGCCAGGAGCTGCACATCCACCCCCCCAGTCTGATCACAGTCAGGGCAGTGGAACCTGTGGGGCCAGGGAGGCAGTGTGGGGGATGGGTCCGGTTGCAGCCTGACAAGCCCTTCAGCTCCCACCCCACCCTCGCACTTGGGCAGCTCGTCTCACCTCTGCACGTAGGGGTGTTGTAGGGCCTGGGCTGCAGTGAGCCGCTTGTGGGGGGCAAATACCAGGAGCAGCCTGAGAAGGTCCAGAGCCTCTGGAGGTGTGTCTGGTGGCAGGATGGTGTCTAGCGTCTGCTGTGGCCTGTGGGTACCACCTGTCATCTCCTCTCTGGGCCTGTGGGCCCCTCCCCAGATCCATGTCTGGCCTGGTATTCAGCTTCCAACCGTCTGCCACACCCCACTTTCCCATCCTGATAGACCCCCATGCCTGACCTACAGACAGCTGGGAGAGGGGAGACCCCCGCCTGCCCTCTTGGCCTTCTGCAGGATCCCTCCAGCCATCCAGGTCTGGGTGCTGTCCCAAAGCCCTAGCACTGCACCCCAGCAGAGCCAGCCAACACTGGGGTGATTCCTGGCTTTCAGCGTGACCCATCAGGAAAGCAAGGCAGGATGTCGACTGGCACAGACTAGCCCCAGCAACAGAGCAGGAAGGTCCCCACCCAGATAGGCTAGCCTGCACCACAGTGCCTACACTCACCCGGATCCCAAGCTGTGCAGGACGGAGGCGCTGTAGCCTGAGCCGAGAGCTGGGAGGTCTGGGGAGAAGGTAGGAGAAGGTGGTGGGACCAGGGTCCTGAGTCCGGGCCGGCCATTCCCTCTGGGCTCCTGCTGTCTGCCAGGACTCAGCAACCCAGTCTACCCTGCCCAGCTCTCTGCTCACACTCTAGCTCCCAGCATAGTAATATCCCCTGCCCCTGCCAGCCCACAACCCTCAGGGACTTTATCCTGACCTGGCTGGCCCTCTGAGGTCACTTATTGGCCCCTGTGGCCAAGTACTATCTCCCCTGCAGCCTCTGTGTAATTGCCTCTATCTCCTCCACTCCTTGCATTCCCCCCAGCCACACCCTCTGGCCCTCAGCATCCCTGGAGCCCAGAGCCCTGCACACGCTCACCCTCCGCCAGTGGAGGTGGAATGGTCTCCAGGATTAGTTGCAGCTGGTGGAGTGTGGACGTGCCTGGGAACAAGGGCTGCCCCCGCAGCATCTCCCCCAGGACACAGCCCAGACTCCACATGTCCACCCCAGGGGAGTACCTGGGACAAGACAGAGTGTGGCATGACATGAAGGAGACCTAGAGGCAGAGGTGGGGTTGCCACGAGAGTGAGGTAAGGACACACGGGACCAACGCAGACCCAGGATGCAGGAAGGCCCAGGAACCCTAGGGGATAGCAGAACAGCCCCAGGGGGCCTCAGGGAGAAGGGGCTTAGGAGTGTCTCACTGTTACCAGCTTGAGGACAGCAGAACCTCTGGAGCTCGGTACCAGCGTGTGGCTACGTATTCAGTCAGGGCCTGGCCCTTGGTCCCCTCAGGAAGGCTGCTCAGAGAGCGGGCCAGGCCAAAGTCACAGAGCTTCACCACACAGTTGGCATCCAGGAGGATATTAGATGGCTGGAAGAGGAAGGGGGCTGAGGGCCGAGGAGGCCAGCTGGGGGCTGGGGGATGGCATCTGTAGATGAGGTGTGGGGCTGCACCTTCAGGTCCCGGTGGATGACCCGGGCTGAGTGGATGAAGTTGGTGGCCCGCAGGAGCTGGTAGAAGATGTAGCGCCTGTGGACATCCTTCAGCAGCCCACCCTTCCTGATGACGGCATGCAGGTCAGTGTCTGGGGACAGGGCATGCACATCAGTCTGTGGGGCCAGCAGAGGGCTGCCTGGGGAGAGCCAGCAAGTCTGTTCCCTTTTGAATTTGTGCACAGCCTGCAGTGCCTGGGGATTAGCATCCGGGCCCTCAGTCCCACTTACTGTCTTTTTACAACAAAAAAGGACTATGGAATTGTTTTCATACTTCATTTCATGTTGCCTTTGTTTTATAAAATGAGTAAAAAAGGAAAATGCAAACCACAGACAAAGCAGGAGCCTCCTTCAGATAGGATCAAGGTGGTCGCCACCAGGCTCCAACATTGACACTTGTCAGCTATTTGTCTTTGGGTGTAGGGTATAAGGTGAGGGTATGAGCCACCATGGGGACCCAGGCAGCAGACAGACAAAGAGGAAGCCAGGTCTACAGGTGGGGTCCTAGAGCCAGGACAGAGGTGGGGTTGGGGGACTGACAGAGGCCTCACTCACCCATAAACTCAAATACCAGGTAAATGTCCCTGTCATTCTCTGCCCGCATCAGGTCGAGGAGGCGGATGATGTTGGGATGGTTCCCAAACTCCTGGGGAGATAGTCAGTTGCTGCTGCCAGGCCAGGGCTGTGCTCTGGGGTCAAGGGCCAGTTTCCCCCTTGTTTGGAGAGACCTGGACCTGGGGAAGGGCAGCAAGCAGGACAACCTGGGCCACTCACCTGGAGCAGCATGATTTCCCGGAATGTTCTCTGGAAGAGACAGAAACACAGGTGTAGAATAGATGAAGCAACCAGGAAACCCGTGTCCTGAAAGGATCTAAAGGGGCTGGTGCCCGTCACCCAAACACCCACCGGACTATGGGGTTGCAAAGGGGGAGTGCTCCAAGAAATACCAGGAAACCTGCTGGGATCAGGCACAGCTATCTATATACCTGGGCTTCAAGGCACCTGGCAAGGTCAGCCCCACCCAACTCTACCCCTTACCTGGGCATCTGTCTTATCTCTAAAGGCATCAAAGATTTTCTTGATGGCAACAACCTCACCAGTTCTCCGGTCCACTGCCTTCCACACAATACCGTAGGCCTGGGGAGGAGTACAGTCAGTGGGCCAGGTGCAAGGCCAGCCTGCCCAGCTATTGCTGCCCGCCCACCCACACTGTCCCTGCAGACACAAGGCCACTCATTCTGTGCTGTGTCCTAGCAGGGGTGAGGCCTGGTTCTCTGGACCCTGTACCTGCAGGCTGCCCACCTGCTGCCTGGCACTCTGGTACCTTCCAGAAGAGGGTGAGGCCTGGGGAGGCCCCTAGAGGAGGTAGGGCTGAGGATGGGAACTTTTGGGCAGGAACTGAAACCTGTCCCCTCTCAGGGGATGGTTTTTGTCCTTTTAGCTGCCTAGATATTCCCAATTCTCACACCACTGCCAGCAAGCCTGTTGGCTCCACCTTTGCATCCATCCAGAATCTTACCACTTCCCGCCACCCTGGTCTGAGCTGATCTCCCTCTGCCCCTTCTACCCATTCCCATGGTGGGCCTTCAACAGAGGGGCCAGGGTAGCCTAGTAAAGTAGTACAGAGGCACTACAGCTCCTAGCGTAACAGTGAAAACCAAAGTCCTTGAAATTCCTCAAAGCTCCTCACACAATGGGACCTCTCATCATTCACATCTATTCCCTCCCCAAGTTCTCTCCTGTGCAGTCACACACAACTATATGGCTTCTCCAAGGACAAGCAGGCCTTGCCTCCAGCCCTTTGTACCTGCTGTGTGTACCACCTGGACTGATTTTCCTCCCCTGCCCCCATTACATGCCTGAACACTTTCACACACACAGTCCACATACACACAGCTCACACGCGGCTCCAGCCTTCACTCCAAGCTTGCCCTTCCCGCCCAGGCCTCTCTTAGGCATGACCCATGGAGAGGCTGCCTGGAGGGCCTGGGAGCCGGATCTGGGCCGATGCTGGGATCCGCCCTTCCCCATGAGACCGAAGCTGACCCCTGAGCGTTCCTGGAGCCAGGGGACAGGTGGCCCTGGAAGCAGGGGATTGTGGTGGGTGGGGCCCTGGCTGTCACCTGTTTCCAGGACCCTGGTGAGGGCATTGTTAGGGTCCTGTGGAAACTGAGGCATACAGAGCTCCAGGGCTGGCTTACGGCCACCCCCCCAGGTGTGCGGAGGGGGCAGAGCGCCAGCGTCGGCCACAGCAAACTACTGAGTGGATGCCTGGGCTCTACTCTGGCGCTCACCCCTTTTCCGAGCCGCCGCTTGAGTAGGTATCTCCGGGCCACGTTGTGGTCCACTTCCGCGGCGCACATGGCGAATGACCTCCTGCTAGCAGGCTTGCCGGGCTCCAGCGGAGCTGGAACTGTTGGGTGCGGTTGCCTCGGTAACGACCCAATCTTGGCTCGGCCCCCGCCATCGCGCCTGAGCTGGGACCGGGGCGGAGCCTGTGCCCCAGGCCCCGCCCTCCCCGGGGCCGCGCGAAGCCCCAGCCCCACCCATCCCGCCAGGCCCCGCTGGGGTTTCAGCAAGCCGCCAGCCTCTTAGAGGAGGCGCCTCTTCCTCACCTAGGTGCTTGGCACTCTGGGGTGGCCGGGGAGGATGAGACAGCGCCGCCGTCCCACGTGGAGAGAGCCGAGTTGCGAGCAGGGGGCGCCGAGTGGGGTGCGTAGGGAAGGGGAAGCTACACCGGCGGAGGGGCGGGAGCTTCTCATTGGACCTCGGAGGAAGAGCCTGTGAAGGCGGGAGGCCCCGAGGTGGGAATGTGGCTGGCTGGGCCGCAGCCCCGGCGGCTTGTGAGTGCGCACGGCCGGGAGGGCTGTGCATGCAGATCAACGCAGGGCCGCTCGGCTAGGGGAGCTGGAGAGAGAAGGCCACGCGGAGACGTGGGGGCTGCATCTGATTGCAGCCGAGCCCCTGGATTTACTGCGGGGTGGGCTGTAGCCGCAGGACAGGAACCTCAGCTGCCTCCAAGTCCATGGTGGGTTCTGGGGGGACAGGGCTGAGGCGGGGAAGGCGGTGGGTAGAGCAGGTTTAGCGGAGAAACTCTGGAAACGAACATTTTAAGTTTAGGATTCCTATTAGACATCCAAGTGGAAGTCTTAGAAAGGCGTGACTTTGGAGGGCGTGGCGACACACTGGGAGTCGATTGTCATTTCAAGCAGCACCCAGGCGAGACCACCAGTGGTGGCGCGTGCAGAGGGGCCGGGCATCCTCCACCCCGCACTCAGAGCAGAGCGAGCTTTGGGAACTGTCGAAGGACCAGCGTCTTTAAAAGTTTTAAATTTGGGCCGGGCGTGGCGGCTCAGCCTGTAATCCTAACTGGGAGGCCGAGGCGGGTGGATTGCTTGAGCTCACGAGTTAGAGACCTGCCTCAGCAAGAGTGAGACTCATCTCTAAAATACGCATCGGGGCGTTGTGGCGGCGCTTCTTGTTCCAGCTACTCGGGAGTCTGAGGCAAGAGGATCGCTTGAGCCCAAGGAGTTTGAGGTTGCTGTGAGCTGTGACATTACAACACTCTACTCAGGGGGACAAAGTGAGACTCATGTCTTTAAAAAAAGTTTTAAATTTGTTTTGAAGAAAAAAGTCAAAAACCATAAACACAAGGCCAGATTGTTAGATTCCGCAATAGTAAAACCACCTCGTGCTGCAACTGTAAGCGAACTCCTCTCAGCTTCCCGCACAGACCGAGGGGGCTCAGCGCGGCCCCAAGCCAGCAGCAGAGGGGCGGGGCGAGGGTGGAGATATGAGCCCTTAACGGAACAGTCATATCTTTTTTTGAGACGGAGCCTCAAGCTATCCCCCTGGGTAGAGTGCCATGGCATCACGCTCACAGCAACCTCCAACTCCTGGGCTCAAGCGAGTCTCCTGCCTTAGCCTCCCAAGTAGCTGGGACCACAGGCGCCCGCCACAACGCCTGGCCATTTTTTGGTTGCAGCCATCATTGTTGTTTGGCGGGTCCGGGCATGTGGCTGGCGCCTTAGCCGCTTGAGCCACAGGCGCCGAGCAGGAACAGTCATATCTTGATATGCTTGCATTGCTAAAAATAATGATTTAATAAGATTAAAGGCAATATTCAATTGTTTATTATAAGTAGGTTAGAAATTGAATTAAGAAAATGATTGCAAAGGGAACGGAGATAGGAGGAAAGTGGATCAGACAAAAGAAGGTAAACATTCAGTCTACAGGACCTATGCTGAGAAATTCAAAGTCTTGCAAGAGTGACAGCTCGAAGTCTGGCACTTGAAGACAAGCGGCCTGTCTTGCTGGAACTTCACCCCTCCCCCAGCGCAACTCAGCCCTGAGGTCTTTAGGCACCTGGAGGCCAGGCTCCTTGGCAGGTGGAACTGCTGTCTAGGAGGGAGTGAGCGCAGGGAGTTGGGAAGATTAAGGAGAGAAGGTAAAACGCGCTGGAATCAGCACATGCGCTTTTAACTCATAGAAGAGAAAAAGTCTCTCGGAGAGGCGAGGGGAAAATGCTCCTCCCCTCCCATTTCTCAGTATGGCCTGGCACCCGACTGCCCACAAGGCTTCCCAGGAGCTTAACTGCTCGTCTTGGGGTTGTGTGTGTGATCTAATTGGGGTCCGTCTTGATGTCCTGCACCTGGACATCTTCCTGTTCCAGACTTTGTGTTAGAATCAAAAGTAATGTAGAGTGATAAAAATAAGATGTAAATCAATGCAATTAAGGTAGTTAAATCATTTGGGCTAGGTGCCAGTTTCTCAGTGGTTAGTGTGCCGACCCCTTACACAGAGGCTAGCGGGTTCTTTTTTTTTTTTGTAGACACAGAGTTTCACTTTATCACCCTCAGTAGAGTGCCGTGGTGTCACACAGCTCACAGCAACCGCCGACTCCTGGGCTTAGGCGGTTCTCTTGCCTCAGCCTCCCAGTAGCTGGAACTACAGGCGCCCACAGCTATTTTTTTTGCTGCAGTTTGGCCAGGGGCTGGGTTTGAAACGCCACCCTCGGTATATGGGGCCAATGCCCTACACACTGAGCCACAGGCGTCACCTGGGCTAGTGGGTTCTACATGCCCCAACCTGCTAAACAAAGACAACTATACAAAAAAATAGCCGGGCATTGTGGCTGGCACCAGAAGTTCCAGATACTTGGGAGGCTGAGGCAGGAGAATCACTTAAGCCCAAGAGTTTGAGGTTGCTGGCACTCTACTGAGGGTGACATAGTGAGACTCTTAAAAAAAAAAAAAGTAGAAGATGCAAGCCCAGCAAGAACCATAGGGTATAGCCTACCCCACCCCAGTTGAATATATGTAATAAAAATGGAACTAGCTCAGAGTGAGGGGCTGTCCACTGGTCCTTCTGTTTGAAAATGGACAGACTCTGATCCAACTCTTTAAAAAACCTTCTGTATTTTGACTTTTCATTTTTCCCTCATCCTCTTGTCTCCACCAGCCACTGGGAGGGAACTCACAGCATAGTTTGGGGTTGGGGTTCTCAAGTGAAGTCAAATCTGCAGGAGTTGGAGGAAGTCAGCACCTGGGAGCCCTCGCTGGCCACACGGGTACTCTTGAGTCTGACCACACCCAGTCAGTGAGAGTGTGGGAGCCACAGAGAGCCTGCATTGTTGATGGAGGTATAAAATACTACGACTGGCTCAGTGCCTTGTAGCACGGTGGTTACAGCACCAGCCACACACACCGAGGCTGGCGGGTTCGAACCCAGCCCAGGCCAGCTGGACAACAATGACAACTATAATAAAAATAATAGCCGGGCATTGTGGCAGGCTCCTAAAGTCCCAGGTACTTGGGAGGCTGAAGCAAGATAATTGCTTAAACCCATGAGTTGAGGTTGCTGTGAGCTGTGACTCCATGGCACTTTACCCAGGGCAACATAGTGAGACTCTGTCTCAAAAAAACAAAACAAAACCCTATGACCATTTGGGAGAACAGTTTGGTGCTTTCTTAAAATTTTGAACATATATTTGCCTTGTCATAAAAAAAGGCAAGCTAGCTGTATGTTTTTTGACAACCTGGAGGGAAGTGGAAGCCATTCATCTAAGTGAAACATCGCAAGAATGCAGAAACAAACACACGTTTTGGAACTAATCAATCACCACTTAACTGCACATGGAAGTAAATCTCAAAAGAAATAAACCTGTTGGGGGGAGATGGGGAGGGGTAAATACACACTTACTGGGTATAGCGCACACTGGTTGAAGGGCAACACTCACATGTGTAACTTTGACCCGATCTATACAAAAGAAAAGGATATAAAGAAAACATGTACCTACCTAAACTTCTGAAACTAAAAAAATAAAATGGAAAATTACCAAAAAAGCTACATTCTTGACTTTGACTAAAAAAATAAATAAATGTGCCTTGTCACCCAGACACTCCAAGGTACTTACCCATGAGCAAGGAAAACACATGTCCATGCAAAGATGTGCCCAGGAATGTTCGCAGCAGCTTTATTTGTAAGTGCCCTGAACTGGAAAACCCCAAACATTGCTTTCAACCTTTAAAACAAGGAAACTGCTAAACAAACTGTGGTCCCTCCAGACAATGGGCCACTGTTCAGCAATACAAGGAAGCATGCTGGCACAATGACAGGTGCATCTCAGGCTCTTATTGCTGACTGAGGGACACGGAACTTCCCAGCAAAAGACTACCCTGTGTGAGTTCATTTATACAAAATTCTAGAAAATGCCAACTGCAGATAAGTGGTGGCTTGAGTGGGTTGGAGGCAGAGACAAATGGTGAGTGGAGGTGCTGGAGAAGCTTCAGTTGTGGTGAGGGGTTCCAGCTATATACGGTATTATGCACAGTTCATATGTGAAGTTTATGGTGCCCCACCCACTCTTGAGGATGCTGCAGCAGTGGGGATACAGGGGTGGAAGGAGGGAAAGAGATCTGGTCAGCACAGGGGGGTGATGCTGGACATTCTCCCTCCCCTGAGCAGCTAGAAGAATGGACAAAACATGTGACAAAGTCACATCTAAAAACACTGGACATGAAGCAGTGAAGGATGTACTGTCAGAACACAGACCTCACTGCCAGACAGTCCTCCTGGTTCTACTGCTGAGTGCCAGGCAGGGAGAGTGGGGGACGTCTCCAGGAGACCAGGTACAAACAACAGCTATGGGGCAGGGGTGCAACCTGGACAATGCCGAGAGAGAGCACACAGGGAGGGGACCTTCATGGGCCAATCAGCCATGCTGGAGATAGAGACCCTGCCAGGTCCCCCCTCAAGGAGTAAACGCTGCTCTGCACCCACCCTGAGTTGTCAGCAACAAGCTTTGAAGGGAATAGATGATACAAAAGTAGCTGCCTACTAAAGCAAGCTTCTATACTCCCCA